CTGTATCCCAGGCATTCCAGGCGCCTGTTGGAATGGCTGCCTGGAACTGCATTTGTGTGAGTTTTTGTGAGGAGACCCGTAGTGCTGGCTGAAACAGCCATGCCAGAAGCTTGTGGCACTTTTCAGCCCAGGAACGTCCTGGTCTGTGGGCAGTAAAAACCCATTTGGAAATGGGGTGATCACTCACCTTCTGTGTTCTTCTGTCTGAGAACTGCACTGCAGAGCTGTTCCTATTTTGCTATCTTGGATCTCCAATCCAAACAATTTAAATTAATGTTTTGAGTGATAAAATACCATGAGCAAAACAGAATAACTGGATAGACAATGTGTGCTGGGGAGTGGGGCGGGGCTTTGCATTACATATAGTCATCAGGTAAGACATTTCTGAGCTGAGACCTAAGGGAGAGCAAGAGTGATTCAACCAAGGACATAGAGAAGAGCCTTTCAAGACAGGAGAAACAGCAAAGGAAAAAGCCACCAGCTAGAAGTGGGTTGAGTGTGTTCAAAACGATAAGGTCGGCAGACCAATTAGAGCACAGTGAACCAGGGAGGCAAAGGTAGGAAATAAGCATGAATAACTGGTAGAGGCCAGATCACACAGCTCTTATAAGCCTTGGCAAGGACTTTATTCCCAGTGGGATAGAACACTAGTGGAGGGAGTGATGACATTTGATATATATTCCTCCCCCCCCAATTTTTTTATTGTGGTAAAATATATATAACACAAAATTTACTACCTTAGCCATTTTAAAATGTATGGTTCAGTGATATTGAATACAATCATAATGTTGTGCAAACATTAGTGCCATCCATTTTGTAAAACTGAAATTCTATCCCTATTAACTCTTTTCATCTTGTAAAACTGAAATTCTATACCTATTAAACACTAACTTTCTATCCCTCCTTCCGTGCTAACCCCTGGCAACCAGCATTCTACTTCAGTCTGTAATTCTGATGAATCTAAGTACCTCAAATAAGTGAAATCATATGGTACAGTATTTGTCTTTTTATGTCTGGCTTACTTCACTTTGTATAATAATAGCCTCGAGTTCATCCATGTTGTAGCAAATATCAGAATTCCTTTCCTTTTTAAAGATGGATAATATTTACATGTATGTATGTATGTACATGTACACATGCACAACCCCCATATTTTGCTTATCTAGTTACCTGTTGACAGACACTTGGTTTGTGTCTACATTTCAGCTATTGTAAACAATGCTGCTATGAGTATGGGTGTACAGACACATCTTTGAGACCCTGCTTTCAATTTTAGGGGGTATATATACTCAGAAGTTGAATTGCAGAATCACATGGTAATTCAATACTTAATTTTTTGAGGTGCTGCCATACTGTTTTCCACAGCAGCAGTACCACTTACTATTCCCTACCATATAATATTTTCAAACCATGAAAAATCAGATATATTTTTAAAGACTATTTTGGTTGCTGTGGGAACAATAACTTGTACAGCAGTTGGGGTGGAACTCATTCAACCTTGAATTGTTTTATTTTATTCTTAACAGAATGTATATTATAGTCTTAGTTTAATTATTTAATTAAAATATCAATATTTATTCTAAATATATATGCAGACTATATGAGGGGAGTGGACTTAATCAATGACTTTCAATGAGAATGGCTGAGATAAGTACCCCATGCCCCGTGGAAGGTATCAAAATTAGCTGAAGAACAGTTTTTCAAACTACACATGAAAAGAGCAAATGCAGCTACTTTTTTAAAAAGCTTTGAAAACTGAAAAAAATACTGGGTAAAAAAGCATACGATTTTCTTCTTTAGTTCCAATACCCTTTATCTCCATTTTACTTAACCCACTGCCATAAACTCATGCTGAATCGCAAATCATCTGAAAGTGCTGTTTTTCTGAAATCTTAAGTTCTAGTATGCCTTACTTAAATAGACAATCTCTCTATGATGTTATTTCCACTTAGTTGCCTTAGACACTACTTTGGTACTTCAGAATCTATCTCTGAAACTGGGTAGAAAGAGGCACCTCTGTGAGTTTTCAGTATGTTCTCCAAGTAACAGCTTTTTAGTATAATAGCACTGATTCTGTTTAGGAATGTTAATGTAGATTCCTCATTAGAACTAAGTATAGGAACTGTGTCACAGTCATGCCTCCAAGGTCTTGTACAATGCCTTACATACTGTAGAGGCACTGGAGATTTTACCTGATTTTAGCACTACTTCTTAGGAGGTAAGATAAGAGTTAAAAGCATGGGCATTTCACTTTAAGAAGCACACATACAAATACATCCAATGGTATGATGTCTGGGATTTGGTTCAAAATGGTATGGGAGTCAGAAATTAATGGCTTCAGTCAGTGTCTGGGATCAGAGAAGCTGGCAGCAGCTCAGAGATAGGCCCTTAGTGCTTACACTAATGAGACTGCCATTGAAACAAATCCTATGGGAGAAGAGCCAAGAGCAGGTAAGGAACAACAGGTGGAGAGTATGACACTGACACCTGTGTCCCTGGGAGGAAACAGTTAAGAATCTCTTATCATGTTTGCTTGAGTGCTCAGTCGTGTGGGTTGAAAGGGAAAGAAAATGGTTGTTTTGGGGCCTACGTACAGAACTTTTGTATTTTTGTGATGGATACCATCAAGCTTCTTAGCATTACCAGATGACCTTCCCCCAAGTCTTCATACAAGCCTGCTACACTATGGAAAATGTTTTCTGTTGAGAAGGAAATTTAAAGAATTAGAGGAAATATATCTACAAAATATGTTCAGCAAAAGGAAATAAATGTATTTGTTTAGTTTTGTTTCATTTGTTCTGGAAAATAAACGGAGGTTGATACTGTCTTGAAAAAGGACAAAGAAAAGTCTGATAAAGTAGTTCGTAGGATTAGAAACTGGAGTATAACAAGCACATAGTTCAGATTTAACATTCGGATCAATGTCATTTGCAGTCAGTGGCTACCCATATGTTGCTATTCGTGTTATGATGTATCAAAAGCTCCTTAGTCATAATATTGCTGCTAAGATGGTGAAGAACATCATGTGTGTAGGATGACAAACTTTTGACTCTCTTCCACTGAAAAACCAGGCCCTGAAAGTAGTTTTTATAGAATGTAGAAGAGAAGACACAGCTCTATCTTTGTTTCCCAAATGTTTGCAGCTGATACCAAGGCTTTTAACTCAGACCTCTTATACAAGAAGAAATTACAAATTGGAGCAGACCAAATTCACTGATAAAAGTGATCTAATATATAATATGCTAGATCATACAGCTAGAGGCTTCTCAGCTTACCTGGTTAGATAAATAAAACCTGGGCTCAGTGATGACCTACATTTTATAAAGTTGAGATGTCAGAGCTTCTGGCATAATGTGGAAGAGAAAATCCAAAAGTGTAGTGTGATCAGAGTGTAGAATTGAATTTACCACCTGCAAGCTGCATACTCACCCTACTCCTGGTACCAATTATAGAGCTGACAAGATCTACTCAGAAGGAAGAAACCACATCAACAATCTGAACATTTAACATAAAGAATATTGATTAATAACAGAAGATTAACTACTAAGAGGGATAAGAGACCTCTAAATAATACAGGAAAAGGAGATGTAGGGAATACATACTTTTTGCAGAACTAAAGTAGAGTCATGAAATAAAGATAACCTTGGAAGAGGGCCTTTTCCCTCCAAACTCTTCATTCATTCAAGGCTAAGTTTCAGAATCTGTGGGAGAGGATGTGGCTATTGCCCACTGAATGGCAGAGAAACTCAATGAGGTATTACAGTCAAGGCTGACACACACAAAACACTGCTTGCTAAGATACCAGAAAAACTTGGCTGGGAACCTGTCAGCTACAGTGGCAGTAAAGTTAGCTTGAAAGCTACCTACTTTCCAAAACATGGAAGTTGCCTGATGAGATGCCAATGAAACTCACTTGATGATGTATTCTACTGGGTCTCCTAACTACCACTGGATCTCCTGGACACCACTAGAGAAGTTGTCAGCCAGCAAGGAAGCCACCCATTGGCAGCCACAGCATAAGAAAAGGAAGAAAACACTAGAACAAGAAAAAGAATTCCCAGCCACACATGGTGGCTCATGCCTGTAATCCCAGCACTTTGGGAGACCTAGGTCCAGTCATTCAAGACCAGCCCAAACAACATAGTAAGACACCATCTCTGCAAAAAAATATAACAATTAGCTGGGCATGGTGGCATGCACCTGAAGTCCCAGCCACTAGGGAAGCTGAGGTAGGAGGATGGCTTAAGCTTGGGAGGTGGAAGCTGCAGTGAGCTGAGATTGTGCCACTGCACTCCAGCCAGTGTAACAGAGCCAGACCCTGTCAAACAACAACAACAACAACAACAACAAAAGTTGAAAGAAGAAGAAAAAGAAGTATCATCTTCTTCTAGGACCTTCTACTAACAAGTACTAAGATTGCAACAAGTGGCAAAGCAGAAAAGAATGATTTACAGCTGAAAGGCAATAAATTGATAACTTGCAAAATTAGGGATAGATAAGAAATAAAACTTGCCATATGTGATAACTGTTGAAGCTGAATAATAGTTACAAATGATTATTCTGACTATTTTGTATATTTGAAATTTTCCATAATAAAAGGTTTTCTTACTCACTGTTTTCTAATGCACTGGAGATAACCCACTTGCCCTAAAATCCCAGCTCAGTCACTTACTGGCTAATTATTTTAGTGCTTTGCTTCCTCATTTGTAATAACAGTAGCTACTTCATTTCAGATGTAGGAAGGAGTTAATAGATATTTCATGAAAAGCAATTAGAGGAGAGTTGACTTGCAGTAAATTCTCAATAAATTTTAACTATTATTACTATTTGTATTATTTATACTGGTACTGACACCATAAACATACTGCAAAAATAAAAGTTGGTAATTCATAGGAAATTAATCCAGAGATTCTGTTGATTTGACCTTCAGAATGCTAATCTTATATATATATATAGATACATAGATCTGTTATATATTAGTCCTTCAAAGAATAACTTACCTTATCTTTGATTTTGTCAACTCTAGCATCCAAAGGCTGGTTTTTGCTTTGTTCCTGAATACATTTTCGATTTCCTCCACCTGAGCTTATGTTTTTAGTTTGTCCCATGGAACTTGAAGCAGTAGTGGATAGTACAGATGTATTGATACCAATTACAGATGATGTACTATTTCCATTTATTGACCCATTTACACCTTGAAAATAAAAATAAACATATTTATACAATGGAATATTATTGAGTCAGTTAACAATGAAGTACAGATACATGTAAAATTGAATGAACTTGAAAATGTAAGTGAAAGAAGACAGAAAAGGTCTTATTGTATGATTCCATCTATACGAAATATTCGGAATATGTAAACCTATAGAGACAAAGTGAAAACTGATGGTTGCCAGGGGCTGAGGGAGAGGGGAATGGGGAGCAACTGCTTAATGGGTCAAAGTTTCCTTCTGCAATGATGAAAATGTTTCAGAAGAAGATAAGAGGTGGTGGTTGCACAACATTGCAAATGCATTAAATATGCCTAAATTGTTCACTTTAAGATGGTTAATATTAAGTGAATTTCACATCAATTAAACAAAATGTTTAGAAAGATGATGAAATGCAAATGTTCTCCTTTTAGAGCAAACTTTGTAACACAAGTGAAAAGAAAGATAATAAACCATCTAAAATGTTGTTTCAAATTATATCCTAACAAGTTGTTAACTGCAGAAATATTGTGATCATTTAAAAACAGTACTAGGTTATGAATTTTAATGAAATTAACACCTAATTACAGAAGAAGTAACACATTGTATTGGGTTACATACAGGGAGGTAATGAGATACAGAGGAAAAATTGGTCTCAAATTCTGACTAGATCACATACTTATTTGAGCAGTATTTTCTTGAACAACTTATTTGATCTTGGTTGCAAAATTAAAATACTTCTAATCTCAAAGAACTATTGTAAGAATTAACCAAGAAAATGTGAAAAGGTCTAGCATAACACTATAAAACTGTTATTAAGGCCAAGTGTACACGGTGGCTTATGCCTGTAATCCCAGCACTTTGGGAGGCTGAGGTGTGAATATTGTTTGAGGCCAGAAGTTTGAGACCACTGGCAACATACAGAGACCCTGTCGTGCAAAAAATAAAAATAAATTTAAAAAAGGTAGTGAGGCATAGTGATGCATGACTGTAGCCCTTGGGAGGCTGAGGCAGGAGGATCACTAGAGCCCAGGAAGACGAGGCTGTTGCAAGCTATGATCACACAACTGTACTACTGCCTGGGCAAAAGAGTGAGCCCTTGTCTCTGTTAAAACAAACAAGCAAAAACAATAAAAATGTATTAAACCTGAATGTTATGAAAATAATATTAGAATGGAAAATTTATTATACTTCACTTATATTAATGTGGATACCTTTTTCAGGACCATTTCGATTACTTTTTCCTGAAGTCCTTGAATGGAATGAAGAAGAATCATTATTCTGGGCTGGGGGAGCAAATAGTGGAGGAATTCCCAGTAATGGTGGAAAGAAGGTTGCTCCTGTACGAGTATGAGCATCTGTCGTTCGCCACCATTCTGCACCTCAAAACCAAACAAACCAACCAAACAAAAATATATAAATTAATTTTCCAGTTAATGTCAAAATGGCTTTCTATGTTTTATTTTTAAAACAAAAAAACAACAAAAAACTTCAAGTTTCATCTTGGAACAAAACTGCTGAATTATTCATACTTCTGATCACTTTCCTAATTTTAAAAAGTTGAACTTGTACACTTATCACTCTTCTCATTAGGCCAGTATCTAAGGATCTTCACTTGGCAGCTTTGTAGAGTTCAAGCTTGTAACGGTAGTCAACAGTTTAAAAAATGAAAGTGAAAACTCGGAATATAAAAGAAGTATTTCACTCTTTGGTGACTTATCCCACAACTTTTCTCATCTGTTTTAAATCCTTAGAATTTAAGTTTATATCTACAACCTATGTTAAGACTTTCCTCAAATTACATACAATATAAATCTGGCTCTGATAAATCAGATAGCCTAAAGCATAATACAAAACTGCTATAATCCACTATACCTCAAATACGGTTACGGAAGAAAACGTTCTGTACTTAAAGATAACCATAAATATAGCAAAATCAGGAGGCCCTGTTTATGGTCTAAAAAATAAGTTCTCAAAGATTTCAAAAACAAGTAATTTCACATTAAAATATAAAAGATTTATAAAGCTTTTCCTCTTAAAGTTAATGATGAAAGCCTGAATTTTGTTTTTACTTCCTCTCATAAATTGCAGATAACAATAATTGTTTTATTGATATAAAATGATCAAGTGGTAGAAAATCATTCAATAAAAGGTAAATACTTAAAATAGTCTCTCTTAAAGTTTTAGAAAAGGAAATAAGCCAAATTTTATACATTTTTTAAGGAAGGAGGAAGTAAATTTGTATTGTCCCATCTAAAATCTCAAAAACAATCTTCTTCAACTGGCTAGTCCGCTATGTTATCAGATCAGTTATTATCTTTCAGACCAATCTTCCAAAAGATATAGTGTATTTTTTCTGGACTGTGACAACCACAAGAACATTAAAGGAAAAAAATCCCACAACAATACAGTATGTGAAAGCTCAAAATTGTCAGTATATTGCATTTTATAATCTTTAACACTTTTCTAGGAATACCTCTTCATTAAAAATAGAATGTAAAGTGATATGCACCTTCATTACCTAATAGCAAAATCAGGTTTAAAAGAAAAGTGAAATTTTCATGGCAGCTGCCATTCTCAAAAGTCTAAAAAACAGTGTAAGTAGAAAACTGCAAAATCTATTTTTCTGCACTGTGAAGGCATTACTAGTAAAATGACACCAATGAATATTCAGCTGTGCCTGAATAATGAGAATGGAACCAAGAATAACTATACAAAAGCATTAGTCATTCATCCACTGTTTAGATGAAAGATGTACATTTAGATAGGGAGAAAAAGTGTGTATTTTAGGCTTGTATCAGCACAGTTGGAGTATTGTTATTTATAGGTTTGAAAGCTAGGTTTTAGCTAGCTGATAAAAAGTTACTGTACTGATGACCTGGCACAGTGGTTCATACTTGTAATTCCAGAGCTTTGGGAGGCTGAGGTGAGAGGTTCACTTGAGGCCAGGAATTTGAGACCAGCCTAGGGCAACAGAAAGAGATCCTGTCTCTATGAAATATTTTAAAAAGCAGGGGAAGGACTGAGGTTTCCCAATGATATTTATATAATTTAACACAGAGTCTGTAATTAAAGTGGAATTCATAGACTTTGTAAACAACTAAAAAATTGGTAAGGTAATCAAAGTGTAATAAGATTCAAATATTTTAGACATAAACTCAGAAAGAAACATTTTTTAAAGTACTTGAGAATGTCAAAGGTAAATAGGCACATAGCTGGGCATGGTAGTGCATGTCTGTAATCCTCAATACTCAGGAAGCTGAGGCACGAGAATCACTTGAACCTGGAAAGTAGAGGTTGCAGTGAGCTCAGATTGTGCCACTGCACTCCAGCCTGGGTGATGGAGTGAAACTCTCCCTCAAAGGAAGAAAAAAAGTAAATAAACACACAGTAGAGATTAGGGAAAACAATTGGAAAATGTGTGTTAAAAATAACCTGATACCACAGAGAAAAATACAAAACAAGTAAATAAGATCAATTAAATAAAAAGATGCAAGTGGTAGAGCTTCTGAATGTAAATTTTAGAAATGTCTGATATTATTTCATAGGAAATAATTTTTGTTAAGTGACAAGCTTACCTGTAGTCTAGGAAAATAAAATTTAGTCACAAACCAGCTTGTTGATAAAATGAAAAATACAAAATAAGGATTACATAAATTAGCATATGGTAAATTTCTAAGTATATTCAAAAGAAATAACAATGTAGTATTTAACTTTTTAATTTTTTTTTTGAGACAGCGACGTTCTGTCACCAGGCTGGGGTTCAGTGGCCTGATGTGGGCTCACTGCAACTTCCATCTCCAGATTGACGTGATTCTCGTGCCTCAGCTTCGATGGTAGCTGAGATTACAGGACTGCACCACCATGCCTGGCTAATATTTGTAGTTTTGGTAGAGATGAGGTTTGGCCATATTGGTGAGCCTGTTCTCAAACTTCCAGCCTCGGGTATCCACCCACTTTGGGCTCCCAAAATTACAGGCATGAGCCACCACTATGCCCAGTCAATATTTAACATATGTAACTCAAAGATTCTATTAATAATACTTCAGAGGACATAATGGATCTCAATTTGAACCTAGATGATTGAGCAGAATTTAAAAATCTTTCATACTTGACAGAGCCAAAAATACTTTGCAAAAATTCATGGTAATTTAATACCACAATTAATTACCAAAAAGTACAAATACTTTTTTGAATTACCATGAAATACTATTTCAATATAAAATGGAAATAATTTTATTATGCTAATATCCATTAAATAATTTTACATTTATTGATTTAATCTGATATGCATATTTTAGCAAGTATATAAAATGTAAAAATAAATTATTCCTCAATTAAAATTCCTAGTAATATCTTCCTGTTTTGTCCTCATTTATTTACTGGGTTATTTAAAATTGGCAATTTGGTTACCCTTCCAAATAAAGACAATTATAGAAAATTTATATTTAAGTTACTGTATGAAATCTACAAATTAAACAAAATGAATCTTTGAAAACTAGGCATAGTCTCTGCCCATTTGGTAAAAAGTATGCTCATCTAGGCATACTATTATCACTAAAGACTCTGTCTTGTAATTGTTTATCTGTCTCCTAAAAACTGTAAGCAACTTATAATTGGCCTTGTGTGCAGAGAGGAGTAGATGCCCAAAGAATACTGTACATTAAATGAATAAGTGAATATTTTTGCTGGGGAAGCTATAAAAGTTTTTTCTATATAGTGAAAGTATCAACATTATTGAAATCTAGATGAGTAGCTTTTTTTTGGTTGGGGGAGGTTTTGAGACAAAGTCTCACTCTGTCACCCAGGCTAGAGTGCAGTAGCACGATCTCGGCTCACTGCAACCTCCACCTCCCGGGTTCAAGCAATTCTGCCTCAGCCTCCTGAGTAGCTGGGATTATAGGTGGGTGCCACCACACCTGGTTAATTTTTGTACTTTTAGTAGAGACGGGGTTTCACAATTTTGGCCAGGATGGTCTCAATCTCCTGACCTGTGATCCACCCACCTTGGCCTCCCAAAGTGCTGAGATTACAGGTGTAAGCCAATTTGCCTAGTCCCAGACGAGTAATTTTTTAAATGTGTTAACCATCATTCTAAACAAAAGACATTTAATTTTAATAATACAGTATTTACATTGTGATTCAGAAATGTTCAAAAGCAACAGTGTAATAAACCAGGATAAAACCATAAAAATATTTAGGATACCAGTAGCTATCTATATTGTTATTATCTATTTTGATATTTATTCAGTAATCATATTTTCAGTAAATATCTGTGGAAAGCTTTTCTTGCTAAACAATCATGCTGGGAACTGAATAAATTCCTATTAATATTTTTGAAGGAAATGTTAATACTTGGTTTAAGACTTCTTTAACTGTCCACACACATTACTCCTCCTCAGTGTCCTCGCTTCCCAGACAACTGAATTGAAGAAGTAATATGAATCAAGAAATAGTACTTGAACTATACATTTAATCATCTATCCTTTCTACATATAGTTTTAAAAACACTTCTTTCCTTTTAAAGAAGCATTTGATAAATTATTAACCATTAAAGTGGGCAAAAGAAAATAATCATGATAGTTACCAATTATGGACTAATTAAGAGCACCAGACACTATTCGGCACTAAACATTACTCAACTCCTTTAATCCTCACAAGAACCCTATGAGTCAGGTACTATTATTATGATCCTCATTTTTCAGATGAGAAAACTGAGGCTAAGAGGCCAGATAATTTCTTCCAGATCACACAGCTATGAAGTAACAAAGCCAGATTTAAATTCAGGCCTATTTGTCTCTAAAATTATGCTATAATGTTTTAAATTATTTTACATACATTAATAAATGCAGCCCTTACTAAAATTTATTAAAGTCAAATTAATCTATAGAAAACACATTCAAATTTAGGCTTTCAAGATAATATAAGAAATTAAAGCCTGTTTTTCTAACGTTTTAATTAACTAATATCTTACTGAATTACTAAATCCTTATAATCTATAGAATTTCGGATAATACTGATCCTCTCGCCATGTAAGTGGTAAAACTGTATAGTTGTTTTGATCAAATACCGAAAAATAGGCCAGGCACAGTGACTCATGCCTGTAATTTCAACACTCTGGAAGGCCAAGGCAGCAGATTACTTGAGGTCAGGAGTTCAAGACCAGCCCGGTCAACATGGCGAAATCCTGTCTCAACTAAAAATACAAAAAGTAGCCAGACACGGTGGTGTGTACTTGTAATGCCAGCTACTTGGGAGCTGAGACAGGAGAATTGCTTGAACCTGAGAGTGAGCTGAGATTGCACAACTGCTCTCAAGTCTGGGCAACAGAGCAAGACTTCATTTCAAAAAAACCAAACCAAAATAGAAAAATAAAGAAATTTAAGAGTCTAGCTCATTTTCCTTACATAATGAAGAAAGTGAGAACCTAAAATAGAAGTGTAAAAATACTCATTATAAAAATTGAACTTCAGTTTCACACTAAGTTAAATAAGATTTTTAAAAATCAAATAAGGCTGAGAAAAATTCATTCAACTCTACACATAGAATATGTATACTTTTCTGTATATTATACTTCAATAAAAAACATGAGAAAAAACTTGCCTGAATTATTACCTTCTGTGACAGACACCTGTTTCTCTAGTTAAATACCTGGATATCTAATTAACTGCTCTGCCACCTAACACACTTAAGGTGTTTAATTTTTTGCACATGATAAATAGGATTGAGTCAATTCTTGCACCCAAGTTACAATACACCAGGCATTACACTATTCCTTTTGTTCAACAAATTACTGCTCGAACATTCTTAAGCTTTCCTCCTTTCCATGAACACTGTTTGTAACAGATGTTTACCTGGAAAAGATGCTAGTTGGGGATGTGCTGCTAAGGCTGTGGGTGTACCAAGTGTCCCCAAACCACCAAATTCTGAATGCCCTGAGCTGGCTGAATGTAGACCAAAGACTGGGTGGCTGACCATTGGGAAGGCACTCGACACTGTGGACAGGTTAAACGGTTGATCCCCAGCTGTTCTGAATAAATGTCCTGGGAGGGAAAAAAACACACTTAAAGTTGGACTATAAAAACAGATGAGAATTATCTGATTTCAGTGTTTATAGTTAAAATTTATAATAATTTACCTATTTTTTGTGACATTTTTTCTTCTGCATTTTCTACTCTTCAAGCCCTAAAAAATGTTTCTAGAAACATGAAAGCATGCTAAAAATAATTAAAATAAATGGTATAACTTTACTTACTTTGAATTTGAGATTTGAGAACCCATGTTTTAAGTAATTTTCACTAATTAAAATTGTTTGACCTGAGGAAGTGAGGCCAAATTTCTCTTAACATATGTACATTAATATATTATCAATATTTTTTACTCATAAGAAGGAAAATTTTAAAAATCCTTGTAATCTAAGGTTGAAAGCCACTGAAGTAAGTCCAGAATCTGTCACCAAGTTAATACTCAACACTCTAAGCAAGATCACAGTTTCAACATGCCAGAGTTGAAGCTCTCATCTCTAATATGATCATGAGTTATTTAATGGCAGGAATTCAACCTAAGAAATGCATTGTTAGGTGATTCAGTCATTGTGCAAACATTGTACAATGTACTTATACAACCTAGGTGGTACAGTCTACCACCTAGACTATAGGATACAGCCTGTTGCTCCTAGACTACAAACCTGTTCAGAATGTTACTGAACTGAACACTGTAGGCAATTGTAACACAATGATAAATAATTGTATATCTAGACATAGCTCAACCTAAGAAAAGTACAGTAAAAATATGGCATTATAGTCTTATAGGCTACTGGCATATGTAGCCCATAAGATTATAATATACTGAAATGTCATTATGCAGTGTATGACTGTATTTTCTAGGTGAGAAGAGTATCTTGACACCAAAAAGGTAGTAAATTCTAGTCTAATAAAACAATGCACAGACAACATAAGTACTTAATGAATACATTTGCAAAGATATTTCTAAATGCATTCACAAGTGGTTATCAATATAAAAATCATTTTTAACTTTTTCATAGACAATGTTCAATTCAAATGAGTCTGACTTTTCAATTCTATTTTTAATCTAAAGAAAATCTAATAGTAAGTGTTACAACTCCAGGTTGGAATGTTATATGATTTTAAAAAATGACTTATTTTTCATACTTTGTAGGAATTTGGCAGAAAATTTTTCTAATACTTAGAAATCTTCCCTGTACTTCCAGAAAATAATTAAGGTACCCTCGCTTGCTACTGGGAAAAGAGAATACTCTACGTTATCTTAAGAATTTACTGTATAAACAGTTTTGTGCTCTGTGTTAAAGTCAGAATAAAGCTTCCTTGCTATCTCTTGTTTATATTACAACAGTCCTGACTGTGCACTGCAATTTAATGAGTTTTAACATAGTATGTTTGAAATTTCCAAATGTAAGTTTAAAATAGTGCATTTACTGTTATCATTTAGTCATTAATCAAATCTCTTCCCTTGTTTTCTTGCTCCCTGAAAACCAAGTAGTCCTAAAAAAGATGAGTGTACCCTCCAAAGTCTGATATAAAGCCTATATTCTTTATTAAAATAATGCTATATTCTTTACTGAAAGGAAAATATGAATGACTTTTTAAAATAATATTTAAATAAATTATATTAACTATATTTTGCATCAGGCTATAAGAGGAAAGTTCTGATTATAACAAAGCAGTAACTAGATCTCACAGGGAAGATCCTCAAAGTGTCTTTACAAGGAAGGCTCACAAAGAAACTGTAAGTTAAGAGGACAAGGACAGGGCATAAAATTGGGTGTCTTTTTTAAGTTAGCTAATTATTGTTTTTGTTGAGTTAGTTCTTCCGTGTTATTAGAATGGACTGCATTAGCACTGAAGATGAGTCAAAATAAAACAGTATGCTATTGCCAAAAAAGCTTACTCAAATGTCACTATTTTTAAGACCAGTGATAGGCTACCAGAAACAGTGTTATTATTTTTTTTTTTTGGCAAGTTTTCAGAAACCCAGCTAGTTTTTTCAAAAAATGAGCTTGTAACTTTAAATACCAGTGTTTACTTTCATTTGTCATTACATATAAAATCTCTGGTTCTCACCAATCAATGCAACTTCCTGACTCAAATGTACTTAAATGTTTTATTTATAAACATACTATGATCAGTATGTTTACACTTGATCAGTACGTTACATTTCTTTCTCCTTCGATTTGTGTGGTAAGCAAGTTGAACTGAATATTGCAGTTTTGGGGAATTTGGGGTCATTTGTAATTTATATTTTACAAATTTTAAATTATATCAATTACATGTATGTAGTCATGATTTAATACAAAGAAATTTGAGGGAAGTAATCTCAAAGCTAAAAAAGCTATATTAAATATAAAAATTCAGAAAAATTTAAACTATCAATGATTAGAAACTGATAGAAATACTTCTGTAATTAATTATAATTACAATTAGTTTTAATAAATAATTGGTAGTAAGTAATAAATAATTGGCAGTAATTAATAAGTAATAAATAATTGGTAGTAAGCAGCATTCTTAGATGTATAGTTACAGCATTAATTTCATTATTAGGAAGAAGCAAAGAAGCTAAACTTTGTAGTCTCACAAGCAGAAAACATGAGGAATAGGTAAATGAAGTTATCACTCTTGCAGCAACAATTAAGAACCAATGATACATAATTTGACAACAAAAAGTTCTTTTTTAAATCTAAAAATAATGAAATCTGGAAGCAACTAAGTAGAAAATTTCAGTAAAATAAGCTGTCTGCATCACAGATTCAAATGGAAAAAGATATATAGATCTGTACACAAGAATGACATCTATGCCTGGCAACAATGCAGAGATGGGCATTCAGATCAAGGCTACTTCAACTCTACTTTCTAATTCTTTCTTCTAAAATTCTTGGTTAAAATAATTAAAGCATGGAAAGCATCCTTAGTGATGATGAATCTTACAGGTCCACTCCTTGCTGGTGAGAAAAAGATTTACTTCTATATTTAATAAAGTAAATTATGATCACTTATGATTGTAGTAATATCATACATTAAAAAAAAATCCACAAGAGACTTCCTCTGTTTCATGTGGAAGTTATACTACAGAAAGGAAATAGTTCAAAAATACATTTCATAATTTTACTATATTTTGCCTTTATAGCAAGAATTTAAAACTCAGTGATTTTTTTAAAAAGTAAACTGTCTCATTAAAAGGTTCTGTAATGTTATATATACAAATTTAATACTGTTTTTTCTACCTTTTACAAAACATAGATAGTAATTCTGTGTAAAAAACTTCCAGAATTATTCTGTTATTTAATGGTTTTAGTAATTCAAACATTTCATGAACATACCTATTAAACGTCAGGTGCAATGCTTAGTAACTGGCATACAAGGATAAGTAAGACAATTTTCTGACCTCAAGCAACTCATGTTTTGAGCATAATTTAAACAGCACAAGACTATTTTTATACCATAATGTACAAGTTTGTTAATATTTCAATATTACAAATCAGTACTGTCATATACAGGACTCAGTAATACATCCCAAACACCTAAAACAATGTCTGGTACATAACAGACATAAAATAAATTTTTTTGAATGAATTAATTCACTACTCATTTAGAGCAGAAGAGGCCTATCCATGGGACTCCTTCCAAAGGGTTTCAATCAGAACAAGAAGCTGTCTTGAGTTTTTATGCAAACTTGCAGTTATGCTTCCTAGATTCCTTTGCCCCTGGTCCTCATTTGTTAATATTACCACTGGCCCTTTATTCCTCCTTGATTGCATTTAGGTCACATGTTGGACTTGATCACACAAAACCCTACCACTTACAGGATCTTAAACTCTTTAAGTTTCATCCTTGAACCACAAGTTTCACATTTCCATTCCCTTATTTCTCAGCATGACCTTTAGTCTCTCCCAGGGCCACTCCTGGACTCTATCTGTCTCTTTTCCCCTCAATACCATCAATATCTCTCCTTTGTTAACCTTAAAGGAAAAGTCTTACACTTGCCATGTCTACTTGCTCATCTCTTCTCAGAATCTTTTAACATTTGTGCTAAGCATCAAGCCTCCTGTCCACTTGGTCTGTAAAACTAAAGTTTTCCTAATCACTAGATCCCTCTAATATTCATTCTTTTCATTCTCAACCTCTTACATAAGTCTGGTATTCCTGATTGTCTCTTTCTTCTTTTTTTTTTTTTTGAGATGGAGTCTTGTTCTTCACCTAGATTAAAGTGCAGTGGCACAATCTCAGCTCTCTGCCTCCTGGGTTCAAGTGATTCTCCTGCCTCAGCCTCCTGAGTAGCTGGGATTCAGCTGTGTGCCACCATGTCCAGCTAATTTTTTTGTATTTTTAGTAGAGGCAGTGTTTCACCACATTGGCCAGGCTGGTCTCAAACTCCTGACCTCATGTGATTACCCTGCCGCAGCCTCGCAAAGTTCTGGGATTACAGGAGTGAGCCACTGCTCCTGGCCCACTTTCTTATGAAAACCGATTTTCATCCTTAGGATCTAGGTCATGGAGCCCTCTTGATCTTCTTCTCAACTATACATCTTTCAATAATACTTTCTCCTTTATTGGATTTTCTTTTACTTTTATTTTTCCCTAAATGTAAAGCATTCCTAAAGATTTTATCCAGCTGTCTCTTTCCTTCTCTTATGCTTTCTCCTATAATATTTTACATGCTTATACTGTTTAAACTATAACCTCTATACAAATGAATTATAAGCCAGGATTTTAGATTTCTGAGACAAAAATGGAATCTTATTTACCTCAGCATCTCCAATAATCTGAAACACAATAGGTACTTAATAAACTGTTTCTAATTGGTGTATTTGTGGTTACACTATCGTCCACTTGAGAATCTCCAAAGCCTATATAACATGCTCTTTGATTTCTACCCTTTATAATTCTATTCTTTACTAACCATTTCAAAAACATATTCTCAAAAAGTATTCCTGAATCTCCAGAAAGATAAATTTGGGGCCTCCTTTCGGTGTTCATGATCTATTATTGGCAATTTGTCTTTTATCATA